AGACACAAACCAATTCCCCCTAACAATAATCATCCTCTCTTTCCATCCCTTTTCGGAAGTAAGGAGGTCTGTACATATCTTCTGTTGAAGAGAAGAAGTAAAATAATAACGGCTAAGCTCGGTCTGATATTTAGAAATAGTATAGGTGATCAATAAGTCAACGAGAGTCAAATCAAGACTCTCTAACCTTCGACGTACAAGAAGAGCCGACATTATTCGAAGAAAGTTAGGGTTTACTTGAAAGGGGCAATACCTAACTTATTGAAGACTAAATGATAAAAAGGGATGAAGGGGAAAACGAAGGGTATTCAGATGGCCAACAGATAAAAAAACAATTCATTCTCACCCACCCCTTCAGCAATCTCTACCTCTTCGGGAATCTCAAATTCTTCTATTACGGAATCAATAGTGAACTTGATATGCCGAACTAACAAAATCATCTCTCTTTCCTTTTTTGTAAAAATATCATCTGATCCAGAAGTGGATGCCTTTGCTTGAGGCAGAGAATTATCTATTTGTACAACAGAATCGTTCGTAGCCTGAAGGGGATTAGAAACCCTAGGAGGAGGGACTCTAAGAAGGACAGGAAATGACGAAGGTGTGGTTTTGGAATCCATAATCTCTATAAGGTTGTGGGAGGATGAAGTACTCATGATACAAAATCAGTAAGATAAATGAAGAACTAACCGGATATCAAGACGAAGCAATGAACTCAGTGAAGACAGAAGCAAACTTTGAAGAAGTTCTTTGGTCAAAATGTCAATGGTCACGTCTCAAAACCGCTTCTTACAAAATTGGCAACCGTGCAAATTCAATTCCCTTATAATTAGGAGCCTTAGTTCAATTTAGGAGGGAGGGAATTGGGGGCAAAGTGTGGAAGGAAAAATCCCCCTCCAATAAGAATCATCCACGTCATTAAAATAAGGTATAATCTCATTGGTCCTCCAATAACCTATCAAAGCCCAATCTTGATTAAGCCCAATTAAAGTCAATATCGATCCAAGGTTATTAGTGTTAACCTCTCGGCCTGCTAAAAAATCCATCCGGCCCATTTACATTATAATCCAAGTCCATTCAAATTAATCAAGTCCTGCTTAACAAAGGATTCTTCATATAAGGAAGTTCTGTGTGGGAAGAGTCTTGCATGGAAAGAATTATAGAAGGAAAGAACCTTGTAGGTAAAGAGTTATATATGGAATGAATTGGAGGACAAGTATAACAAATCCTACCATAATTCCACCATTTTTTTGTATATAAATAGAAGCATAGACCTCCAATAAAGATCATCGAGCCTTCTCCCTGAATTGTTCTTGTTATTAATTGTTCTTTATTTGAATGAATTGTATTTATTCTTTTAGCTTTTTAATTAAACGAATTATTTGCACCTACACCCTAAGATTGTGGATCTTGCTGTGCGCGATGCTTTGGTTATAGCTTCTTAGTTGTTTGTTTGGGGTGTTGGTTGTTTTTTCTTTTTTCCTTGTTGCTTCGTTATTGTCAAAAATAAAAAATAAAAAAAATAAAAAGGACGGTAGAATGACACGTGCTGACTTTCGTCTAACTAACAACCAAAACCTTCGTGATGTCAATGGAATTTATCCGTTAACATAATCACCTAAGTATGTCATGAGAATGAAAAATAGTCCTTCCGCCCCCAAAGTCTTTCAAATTTCAACTTTTTCAATACACAATTGTGATCGAGAGGGTCCGCGAAGAGGAAAAACATAAAAAAAGGCAGAAAAAAAAAAAAGAAAAAGAAAAAAAAGAGAGGATTATCCGCATGGACCACATGAAGTGTGATCGATCACGTTGGAAAATATTAACATTGTTGGAAAATTTTTACTTTGTTTCAAGAGTCGAAACTCCCTCATTTGTAAGGTTCACACAGAAGCGTGTGGGTCTAACTAAGAACATGAATTCTCAATATTAAATTGTAACTTTGTTTTAAGAGTCAAGATTAGGTCATTAGTTACTGTCCAACATCGATTTTTCATATAAGAGTTTTATGCTTTTACTGAATTGACGAGTGAATGAATACTTACCGGTGATATCGTTACAGGATTGCATACTATTATAATAGGTAGACATTTTTAGTTTGATAAAATGGTGAATCTGAAAATTTGTAATTATAATATATATTTGTTGTGTTCATCTCATTTTGCTGAGTGTTATTTTCGGTATATACAATGATACAAATGTACCAGTTTCATGATATTGGACATAGAGGCCAAGGAGGACTACTGAACAGCGGTTAGATTGGGAAAAAAAAAAAAAGAAAAGAAGGGAAAGAAAAGTTGAAGAATTATGTATGTAACGTAAAATAACGAAAACGACCATCACGTAACGGGAGTTCAGATTACCAATCCGTTACTACTCGAGTTTTCGCGGTTTAAAAAATTTACTACTGTTTTTTTTTATCATGTTTATTTTTATTATTATTTTTTATTTTTAATATATTAGTTAATGTCATTTTTTTTATAATTAATATTTTTTTTTTTTTTTTTTTTAAACTGAGGTTATATTTGGCAGCACTATATTGGAGTCTTGAAATTCGAATTGAAAGCTCTAATTCCAAATCCAAAGTTTGGATAGTACAAACTAATTTGGAATTGGAATTGCATTGTAATCCCAAACATCCCAAAACGACAATTTGAATCCCATAATTCAACGAAAAATTTCCAGTACCAAAACAAACCCAAAAAATATGTTTTTTTTTTTTTAAAACAAGAATAGGGACTGATTGCAAGTTTGGAAAAAGCCCAAAAAATATGTTGTTGTTGTTGTTTCATTATTATTTTTTTTTTCCTATTTGGAAAAGGAAAAATGTTCGTAAATTCTACTGCCCCGGTTCAAACCCGGATTCCAAACTCATAGAAATTGCCAAGTGCTACAGTGCATCATGTAATTTTATATATTAAAATTACATTTTTCAAATGAATTACCTCTTAAGTAATTTTATATATTAATTCAATCTTAATTCCAACTCATCTTATTTTATATATGTGTCCATATAATCTTTTTATGTACATGCATACAACATATTTATTTGGGACAACCCCTAAAGCATACTCCGCGTAGCATTTTTACCCCCTATTTAAAGAAGTGTGCAAAAAACACTCCTAATCTTTTCACATTGTGCAAAAATATCCCTAAATCAGAAATCTAGCATAAATTAGTGTTGCAATACCCATTTTGACCTTTTACTCTTCCGAAAATGCCCGGGGGTATATATGCTACTAATCCCATAGTATAGGGGTGTTATGTGCACATTACCTTATATATATATATTTATTTATTTATTTGAAACTTTTTTCTCTATACATATCTCTAAACTTTGTTTTTTTTTTTTTTTTTTTTTTTTTTTTTGGGAAAATTTGAGGATTTGCAGAATAAGGATTTGAATTTTTTGAGATTTCAGTTTAGTATTTTCTACTAATTTATTTTATGTTAAAAAAAATAAAATAAAAAAGGGAAAAAAATTCCAATATTAGTATGCACTGATTTTCGGAGTTTGGAGTATATTTGTCTTCTTTAGTTTGCACTTTATTTTTGTTTTTTATTTTCTATTTTTATCTTTACTTCTTTTTTTCTTTTTTTTTTATTTTTTATTTTTTATATCCGTTGCCGGTGTCCTCCAATTGTGTCATTTTCGATCATTTTACAAAATTATTTATTTTTATATATTTATAAAATGGTTTAGTAAGGGTAATTTAGTCAACTTAGGGTTTAAATTTGTTAGAGGGACCTATTTGCACAAAATTGAAACTTTAAGGGAGTTTTTTGCACGAGAGAGGCGTCCACCAATAATATCCTTTTCGGTCATTTTACAAAATTATTTATTTTTATATATTTAGAAAATGGTTCAGTAAGAGTAATTTAGCCAACTTAGAGTTTACATTTATAGGAAAAACATATTTGCACCAAATTGATACTTTAGGAGTTTTTTGCACGTGCACTATAAACATACTTTAAGGCATTTTCTGCATTTACCTATCTATTTTACCTGGTTTAATTCAATTCCAAATTAATGATGTTATCTAAACGATAAATTAGAATTGAAAGTCAATTACACTTGAATTCCAAAGTTTATCCAAACAGTGGATTTGGAACTAGATTGCTGGGATTATAATACCATGAAATTGCAATCCATATGCAATTCCAATTTGGTGCAACCAAACATGGCCTTAGTGTCATTACCATTAATTTATTCTCTTGATATATTGTTTGTCTTAATTCCTTTTTTAGTTAATTTCATTACTATTAGTTATGTAGTTATTTAATTAAAACTTGAAAAGAGTACAAAGAATTTAGTAATTATGATGGAAAGCTCCATCATAAAGAGTATATTTAAATAAATTTATTTTTCTTTTTGCTTAATTTATTCCCCCTCTTTCTAACTAGCCACTGTACTTTTCCTTGGACAATGTTTAACTAAATTTTTTGACTTTATAAGTTACTAGTAAACTTTTAATTATTTGAAGTTTACTTTAAGTTCTAAAATATATTAGTATGCATAATGTAATGACTAAAATAAAAAATTTATGACCATTTTGATAGCTAATATATAATTAATTTGCAAGTACTAGTTGATAAGAATCCCCTCTTCCTCTTACATGTGAGCGATTGAGGGTCCGAATTTTGTTGCATGCTAGTTTTGCTGCTTGGTGACTTTGTAGTCCAATTGTGTGTGTGTGTGTGTTTGTGTGTGTGTGTGTGTGTGTGTGATCTTCAGCAGCTATACTCGTAATTGTTGAATCATTTGAATATACCAACCTTTTTGTCAATTTCTACCAACCATCCACTCGCAATTGTTGAATCATTTGAATATACCAACCTTTTTGTCAATTTCAACACTTGATAGTTACGGAGTATTATTTCTTCCAATAAGCACAGTATCATTTGAATATACCAACCTTATCGTCAAACTTCCTAAAAGTGATGCTTCTTGTCAAACTAAAGCACTAATATTATCATAATGCAGGTCCGAATATAAGGAAGGAATGGCTTATGCACTTGATCCAACTTCCCTTGTGCTCTGCTCTCAGCTTCCTTCATCTTTCACTAAGAATGGAACACAAAAATATGATTTTGACCCTATTCAATTCATCACTCTTACTCTCTCTTACATCCTATTTAATATGACCCTCATTTTACTGTGCCCAAATGCCACAGTTGGCGCTACTTTTGGCTTCACAAACGAGACAGACAAGCAAGCCTTGCTAGCCATCAGCGATCAAATTCTTGAGGATCCTTTCAATGTCCTCCGCTCATGGAATGATTCTATCCACTTTAGTAGTTGGAAAGGAGTCACATGTAGTCATCGGCATCAGAGGGAGACAATCCTAAACTTGTCTTCCCGGGAATTAGTCGGTTCCTTGTCTCCTCATATGGGAAATCTTACCTTCCTCAGAGGGATCCATCTCGAGAACGATAGTTTCCGTGGCACAATCCCTCTAGAAATTGGTCGACTGTTTCGGCTTCAACATCTTTCTCTTGATAAAAACTCTTTCCAAGGTGAGTTCCCTACCAACTTGACTCATTGCTCCGGCATTACTGTCATCAACATGTCTTCAAACAATCTTCTAGGAAAAATTCCTATTGAGCTAGGGTCATTGTCTAATCTCTTAGAATTGCGTCTTTCCAAAAATCTTTTCATTGGCAATATCCCACCTTCTTTGGGAAATCTTTCTGCTCTTCGCACACTTGATCTAGGATATAACAATCTAGAGGGAAGCATTCCTTTTGAGCTTGGAAAGCTTTCTGACTTACAGTGTTCAGTTGGGTGCCAACAATTTGTCTGGAATGGTTCCTCCTCCACTTTACAGTATCTCATCCATCTCTGTCTTTGCTCTAGTTCTCAACCAGTTAAGCGGAAGGCTCCCCAAAGAACTGGGATTGACCCTTCCAAAACTACAATATTTCTTAGTTGGTGGTAACCAATTCTCTGGGCCTATTCCACCATCATTGGTTAATGCTACAGAACTTGTTAAGTTTGATATAGGTGAGAATTTTTATAGTGGGTCTGTACCAATGAATTTGCATAGCCTTCAAAATCTAGATAGGCTAAGTATTTTTAGTAACCGACTCAGAACTAAAAAAGCCAATGACTTGAGCTTCCTTGATTCATTAACCAACTGTTCAAATCTACAAGGTCTACTTTTAGGTGGGAATTATTTTGGAGGTGTATTGCCCAATTCAATTGCAAATCTATCCACCAGTCTCACCTCACTGTCGATAAATGTAAACTACATATCTGGAAGCATACCACAGGGAATAGGGAACCTCGTCAACTTAGAATTTCTAGTATTGGATACGAATATGTTCAGCGGAAGCATTCCTGAATCTAATGGGAAAATTTCTAAGTTGCAGTGACTGTACATTTCCATAAATAACATATCAGGAAAAATTCCACCATCTATTGGCAACATGTCTCAGTTGAGTATTCTTGGATTAGGACAAAATATGCTAGAGGGAAGAATACCTGTTTCTTTGGGTAATTGCACAAGGCTAGAAGTATTGGATCTTCAACTGAATCACCTCACTGGTGCAATACCCGAGCAAGTTATTGGACTTTCTTCTCTTACAATTGTTCTCTCCTTGAATCAAAATTATTTGACAGGACCACTGCCCTCACAAGTGGGTAACTTGAAAAATCTTGGACAATTATATCTCTCAGAAAACAAACTTTCTGGAGAAATTCCAAGCAGTCTTGGTGATTGTCTAATTTTAGAAACCCTGCATATGGAGGGTAACCTTTTCAAAGGTACTATTCCATCATCTTTACAGCAATTAAAAGGAATTCGAGACCAAAATCTTTCTCGTAATAGTTTGTCTGGACGGATTCCAAGCTTTCTAGGCGAGTTCCGACTGATTGAATATCTAGACCTATCTTATAATAAGTTTAAGGGTGAAGTTCCAAATGAAGGAGTGTTCATGAATGTCAGTGCATTTTCAATTGTGGGAAATGACAAACTTTGTGGAGGAATCAAGGCATTGGAATTGCCTGCATGTCCCACACAAGGGGAAAGAAAAAAGCTGTTCCCCCGTAAAGTGATAATTCTTGTGACAAGTATCACTCTTTCTACAATTTTGTTGATAGCATGTGTTTCCGCTGTTTTTTACCTCATCAAAAGGTCAAAACGAAAGTCTTCCATGGATTGTCCATTAGGAAGTCAGTACCCAACACTCTCTTATGCAGAACTTCAACATGCTACCAACGGATTCTCTTCAGCAAACTTGATTGGTGCAGGGAGTTATGGTTCTGTTTATAAAGGAATTCTCAACTCTGGTGAACAAATTGTCGCTGTGAAGGTATTCAAACTTCAACTACTTGGAGCCAACAAGAGCTTCTTGGCTGAATGTGAAGCCTTGAGGAACATTCGCCACCGCAATCTGGTCAATATCATCACATCTTGCTCAAGCATGGACTTCAAAGGAAATGATTTCAATGCTTTGGTCTTTGAGTTCATGCCAAATGGGAGTTTAGAGAGCTGGTTACACCCAACTCAATCTGTGCAGCAGGATCCAAAGAGCTTGGATTTGATACAAAGGCTGAACATTGCAATTGATGTGGCATCTGCATTGGATTATCTTCACCATCATTGTGAAACAGCAATTATTCATTGCGATCTAAAGCCAAGCAATGTTCTTCTTGATAATGAGCTCTGCGCTCATGTGGGTGATTTTGGTCTATCAAGGTTTCTTGGAGCCGCAAGAGGTAAAACCAATCGTTTGCAATCTAGTTCTTCAATTGGGATTAGAGGAACAATTGGTTATGTCGCACCAGGTAATGTTCTATCACATAATTATTGCATAATTATATACATCTCCTTTTGGTACATACTCTACGACACTTGAAACTCTTTAAAGTTTTTGTTTTATTGTATTTTATTTTCTACTTTTGTGTGCGTGTGTTGTTGTTGTGGTTGTCTCAGGATTGGCATACTTAGCATGTTTGAAAGGACTATGAACTTTGCTGAGAACGATTATATATGACCGTGACTTGTTGATTATCACCCAGAAAAACCTGCATATGAATTGTACACTTGATGGTTGACTACCTGATAGAGTTATCCATGGTACAAATAAATCTGAAGTTTCTAAATAATTTTTTTCCTTAGCTCAGTCAGGTCCTTCCAAATTTCCCAAAAAACAGAGCACTTGTTGAATATTGACTTTGTGGTTCCTACTTAGCATATTGGTATGTGCCTTTCAACACAATATTGGTACTATACAAAATGTATCAAAAGTTACTGCTATAGACTACTAAGGGTTTTTTCAGATATGTCATATTTTTGGGATGGAGTACAGCTTAGTATCAGCCAAGTCTCTAGTTTATCCTTTGACAAGTAACTAAACCTAATAGCAATTAAATGCAGTCTGTCTTCGATTATATAGTTTAGGTGCTCCAAATCATGGTCATAGATGGTAATTTTTGGAAATTATTACCAAATCTGCTCAAAACCGGGAATATTTTAGCACAAGCCATGGAAAACGATTCCATCTATACTTCACTTTCTGCATTATAAAAAAGGCAACTTGGAAAATTGATTTCATCTTGTTTATTAGTTACTTCTGCCCATCAAGTGATTAACTTGTGCACTTTGTTCCAACTTCCCTTCATGCTCATTGTCCAGAATCTTTTATTCGTTTCAAATGCCACAAGAAGCACCACTTTTTTTTTTGAAAGGTGACGAGCACCACTTTTGGTTTCACAAATGAGAGACAAGCAAGCCTTGTTAACCATCAAGGAATAAAATCAAGGTTCTTAGCTCATGGAATGATTCTATCCACTTCTGTAATTGGCAAGGGATTACATGTAGCCAGTGGCATCAGAGAGTGACCGTCCTAAACTTCTCTAAAAAATTAGTAGGTTCCATGTCTTCTCATACTGGAAACCTTACCTTCCTTAAAGCAATCCAACTCGAGAACAACAACTTCCATGGCATTATCCCCCCAGAAGTTGGTCGACTGTTTCGGTTACAACATTTTTCTCTTTACACAAACTCTTTCCAAGGTCAGTTTCCTATTAATTTTACTCATTTCTTAGACATCAAAGTCATCAACATGTCAGAAAACAATTTTGTAGGAAAAATGCCTAACGAGCTAGGATAATTGTCGAATCTCCTAGAATTTGATCTTTCCAAAAATCGTTTCAGTGGCAAGATTCCACCTTCATTAGGAAATGTTTCTGCGTTTCGCAACCTTTCGCTTAGGCGTAACAACCTAGAAGGACGCACTCCTTATGAACTTGGACAGCTTCCTAACTTAAGAGTACCTTCAGCTGGCTTCTAACAATTTGTCCCGTTTGGTTCCAACCTCAATTTACTACAACATCTCATCCTTTACAACATCTCATCCATCAGTTACTTTGTCCTAACTAACCACCAACTACATGGAAATCTCCCACCAAATTTGGGATTGTAGTATTTCATTTCTATGTAGTGTCAAAATATAAATCAAGCAAATAATTTAGAAATTAGAAAATAGTGAAGAACATCAACAGTTTAAGCACCATCATTTGTTTCAAATTGCAGAATATGGTATGGGTGGGGAGGTTTCAACGGAAGGTGATGTGTATAGTTACGGAATTCTTTTACTGGAGATGTTTACTGGAAAAAGGCCGACTGGTAGTATGTTTATAGACAATTTCAGCCTTCATAACTATGCTAAGATGGCGCTTCTAGATGGAGTGATGGAGATTGTCGATTCTCTACTCATATTGGAAGAAGAAGATGACTCTGAAAGGACCAAACAACGCAAGATTGCTACAACAAAAGATTGCTTGGTATCAGTTCTTAGAATTGGAGTCGTTTGCTCTTCTGACTTGCCAAGAGAACGGATGGATATTACAAATGTTCTAAATGAACTCCACAAGATTAGAGAAGCATATCTTATTATGTATGGAGGAGGGGAAGGAAAGAGAGAGAAAGAGATGGAAGAAATAATTCCTAGTTAGACAATTATAGCTGGTTCATAAGGTAATGTTCAGAATAATGAGGTATATCTGAAAGATATAGTTCCACTATATGTACTTTTATCAATATTTTCTTGTAGCAATGTTTATCTTCAACTTCACGAAATTAATGAGAAGCTAATTCTTAGAGAAAGGAGGTAAATTACTTGATCATTGAGTATTAAATAATATCAACATATACAAAAAATTTATATTATTTTTCCAACAGAAATAGAGTAATTCTCTAAAGTTCTACAATTGCTTCATTATAGTAATCATTTCACTGGCAAAATCCCATTCTTTATTTGGGAATCTGTTCTCTTTCCACTCTAATTTGATGTCTAACAATTAATCTAGATCCTAGAGGGAAGCATTCCTGTGGAACTTGGACAACTTCCCAATTTACAATATCTCGATACCCTTCAAGAACTTTTTTTTACAGTGCTATAATAATAAAAGAATGGTACATCCACGCACAAATGGCAGAAACAATTTGATCAATGAGCTTAGATTTATAGAAAGAAATTTCAAATTTGAAGCAACAAATCCAGAAAATTGAATTGTAATATTAACAAGAAAATGAGAGCGAGTAATTACGCGGGACCAGTGCTTTTAATGTTGAACGGGACGACGTCGTTCGTGCCAGACGATGCGTTGGTACAGAGACACCGGTTCAGCTCCGTCGGCGGCGAAGGGATCGGCGGCGCACGGGTGAAAAGCCGCCGGAGGAGGTTGAACGCTTTTTTTGGCAGTGAAGGAACAGTAGGCATTTGTCTGATAAGTGATAACCGATGATGATGCCGTTGGACATTTGGGCCTAGTTGCCCTAGTTATCCATTTATTTGAATGTAAGGCTTCGTGCCTTTGTTCCCTGGGCCATTATTGGGCCCTGCACAGTTCTATTTATTTATTTATTTTAAATAAATTGACAAAAAACTTACACACCCACACTTTGCCTTAGAGTTAGAGTGGTTGATTTATCAAGATATGATTTAAGTTAAATTACTAGTTTAGTAGTTTATGTTATTTTACCGGAAGTGTTCACCGGAAAAAGCGTATTGATGCATGTTTACCGGAAAAATGGCATACTGATGTCTGTTCTAGAACAATTTTACTCCACATAACCACAACCAAGGGCGGATTCAGCCTTTTTGAATGGGGTGGGCTAATTTTAGACTGGGCTAATTTTAGACTATTACTATTTTTTTTTTTTTTTTTTTTTGGCTGGGCTTAAAGTAGTATTGTAAAAAAATATATATATATATATTTTGGGGTGGGCTGAAGCCTAGCTTCGCCCACCCTTGGATCCGCCCTGGACCACAACTATGTATGTCTCACAACTATGTATGTCTCACAAACAATTTTTGTCTCCACAACCATGCTAAGATGGCTCTCCAATCAAGTTATGAAGGTTGTTGATCACCAAATTATAGTGGAAAAAGAGAAGATGGATCAAATCACACCAAGGAAAGTAATACATGCAACATTTTTATTTTGATAAATATAAAGCGTGAATCTGAAAGTGTGTATTATGTCAGTTGTTTGTGTAGAGACACTAAATTTTTGAGACATTGGTTAGAGTCAAAATCTACAATCCTACAACAGTCACGTGACAATATATCTATATAAAATGTTTGACAAATCAAATTCAAATTTGTTTCAAATAAATAGATACAAATCTCCCCTTTTTTATTTTTGGTTTTTAGTTAATATCATTACTATAATTATGGTAGTTATTTATTTTGAACTTAAAAGATGGCAAACTCCATTATAAATAGTATATTTTAAAATTATTTATTTATTTATTTATTTGTTAATTATATACCCACACCTAGGCTCTCTAACTAGCCAATTTACTTTCCCTTGGATAATGTTTACTGTTTAAATTTTGACTTAATAAGTTAGTACTCCTTAAATTTAGATTTTAACCCCTCGACATGCAAATAAGCTGGCACTTATTTAAAATTCTCTGCTTATGGGTGACTTTGTAGTCCAATTATACATCCATGTTTTCCACTTAAAAAAAATGTACCTTATCTTCTCCCAAAAATTACTATCTAATAATTACGAATATCTACTCCCAAAAATTACTATCGACAGTAATTATTATGCATCAATTCTTAACATCCAATTATTTTTTTTTTTTTGTAACCAGAGAGAGATAAAAGTAAATTTTCTGAAATTATGACTTGGTGCAGTTGTAGTGATAAACCAGAAAATGAAGGTGAAAGGTGAATTGTTTTTAGGTGCAAATCATGGCCAAATTTATAAGCCAAGCTCTCTTTATTTGATTGAGTAAGCTTTGCGGAAAATGATTTCAAGGCTTTGATCTTTGAGTTCATGCCAAATGGGACTTTAGAGAGTTGGTTACAGCCAAATCAATCTGTGCAGCAGGATCCAAAGAGCTTGGATTTAATACAAAGGCTAAACATTGCAATTGATGCGGCATCTGCATTGGATTATCTTCACCATCAGTGCGACACAACAATTATTCATTACAATCTAAAGCCAAGTAATGTTCTTCTTGACAATGAGCTTTGCGCTCGTGTGGGTGATTTTGGTATATCAAGGTTTCTTGGAGGCACCGGAGGTAAACCCGACCGTTCAAAATCTAGTTCTTCAATTGGGATTAGAGGAACTATTGGTTATGTCGCACCAGGTAATGTTTTGTCACATAATTATTGCATAATTACATACACCTCCTTTTGGTACATACTCTCTAATTTAGTTTCTTCAAGGAATTTTTTAGTTTGGGACTAAGGTGCACCTTAATAATTGGTATATGAAACTTGCTTAGATTCTATTTTGAACCACATCTTGGTTATTTCCCAGATGACTCTATTTTGCGTAACCAGGTTTGGCATATTATAATTGTAGAATTTCACATTTGTGTACCAGTGTCGAGGATAATCCTTGATGAAAATAATTTAGTACTTCAGAAATGTTGAAGGACATTACTAATTTAGGCAATATGTTATTTATTTTTTGTAAAATATGGTATGGGTGTGGAAGTTTCAAAAGAAGGGTGATGTGTATAGCTATGAAATCCTCTTACGGGAGATGCTTACCGGAAGAAAGCCCATAGATAGCATATTTTCTGAAAATTTTAGCCTTCATAACTATGCAAAGATGGCGCTTCCTGATAGAGTGATGGAGATTGCCGGTTCTCTATTCTTGTTGGAAGAGGAGGATGCTCAAAGGGCCAGCCAACATAACATTGGTAGAATAAAAGAGAGCTGGGTGTCGGTCCTTAGGATTGGAGTGTTATGTTCATCTAAACTATTGAGAGAACGGATGGATATTAGGGATGTTCTCTTGGAACTCCACAAGATTAGAAACGCACTTTTAAGAAGAAGCTGATGTCATGTGATAGAAACTTCCGGTGGTTGTGACTGTTTAAAGCATTTGTTTTATTGTATTTTATTTTTTACATTTGTGTGTGTTGTGTCATCGTAGGTGTTAGAAATTTGGTGTGAATAGAAGTTGTTTATCAAGGAGTCTGTAACTAGAGTGGTGCCATCATATATTTTGCAATATTAATAACCCATGAATATGGTTATTGATGCAGAATGTTTCTGTAATACAGAATTTCCAAATTACAACGAATCCTTGACACGTGATTCAACGTGATTAAGGATGGGTTGGAAAGTAAGGGTAGCATGATTGAGAAGTCACATTGAATCATAATCATATTTGTGAGTTTTGGGTTACAGACGTTGAAAGAATGTAACGTTGTTGACAATTAAGAATCTGTTGAAGGTGACCAAACTATGAAAGGATACGTTCTTTCCAAACAGATACACCCATACTCCAAGAGGTATCCCAAACAGACATACCCATGCACCAAAAGGCATCTTTAAGTCTATAAATACCCCACTGGCTACCATAATTTATCGTTCAATTAAATTTATTCTCTCCTTCTCTCAAGATGAACCTAACCCAAGTGGATGTGGGTTCAAGCCATGGTCAAGTGGTCTGAGCCACTTAGGCCCAAAACCAATTTCATTGAACCATATTAAATTTGGTCTGAGCCATTTAGTTCGGATTTCACTAAATTCATTATTTAAATAGTATAGATGCATTTTTTGAGTCAGAGAGAGTATTACACGGAGGAGGTTCGCCGTATCCACGAGTTTGTAGTGCTGCTACTGGTGGATGTAGACCGTTGTATCCTGGGAGATAGACGCCACTGAGTCCGTTAGCACCATTTGTACAACCATCGGAAGATTTTTTGTTCCTGGGTGAACAACCATCGGCAGTTTCTCTCACATGACATCAATTTCTTCTCAAAAATGTGTTTCTAATCTTGTGGAGTTCCATGAGAACATCCCTAATATCCATCCGTTCCCTCGACAATTCAGAAGAACAAATGACTCCGATCCTAAGGACCGACACCAAGCACTCTTTTATTTTTCCAATGTTATGTTGGCTGGCCCTTTGAGACACATCTTCCTCTTCCAACGAGAATAGAGAATCAGCAGTTGTAACGACCCTAGCTGATGCCAAAATTTAAAAAAAATTCGGCATAACCTCCCCTAAAAATGGGCCTTCAACAACCTGTCCCAATACACAAAACACATAAAATCATCAAGCATCCCATTCATCCGTTCATTATACCTTAACATAGTTCCTTTCATGGTGGAACATCCACACACCAATTAATCTAAATTATCATAATTACAGTCCCAAAATACAAGATTAATATTTAAAGTCCCTGTCTTACAACGTTACATGATACAATTGCATGGAAACATATACCATAATTCCACTAGTTTCATTTACATCAAACAAAAGATAAGATCGTTCTTAAGTTACAAGGCCATGAATACTAACTTAGTTACATTTCCACAACTACAAATATACATAGAACGGTCAAAATACAAAATAGCAAACAACCTTCTGACAACTTTTAAGCTTGAGGTGGATTGTCGTCCACCAGTTCATTTCCAAAACCTAAAAAAAATAATATAAATAGTAGGGTGAGCATAAAGCTCAGCAGGTGACACTTAAGACACACATCTTGTGTCCTTGTGAATCCAAACAAAGCATAGGCCAATGGGAAATGGGGATCATACAATGTCGGGAAATAATACAGCATAACGATTCAATGTCAAGTATATCCAATGCAATGGTATGAGATGCAATGTATGCTAGTGTCGCTCCCCATTTTCATAATCCAAAACATCATTTCCAAACTGTTAATACAGCCCGCCCTTTGGTAGCCCCGCCGCGACACGAGAGGAGGATTGGCTAGTATCCCTGACCCTTGGAAACCCCGCGGCGTCATTATGGGGCCCAACTAGTTCAACCACGCTAGGGCGACTCCCTAGTCCCCTCTAGGCTATATTAACCTCCGGCCCGTTGGTAACCCCGCAGCGACCGGGTTTCGCATAAAACCATTTCATCAAAAACACTTCCCTGAAATTCCCCATATTTATTTCAAGAACAATTTCTCCCATTTCATGCAAACCCAATGGTATGTGCATGTATCTATGTTCCATACATTCAATGTCATGGCATTTAAAATTCTACACCATAAAATTAAACATTCAACATGTTTAACATCTCCCAAGTAATTATTAACACATTAAGATACATCAAAATACATTTAAGCATGCTTTACACATAAAACAACTCACATTCAAATACATGAATTTCTCTAGACAACATTTAAAATAATCATTGATACAATTAACTTCTAATTAAGCATGTTTGGCATAACAAATGATTATAACTCACAATGGAACAAGAAGGTAATGGATTAAGGTGTCCCTACCTCAAATTTGCACAAAACCCTTATTTTGGGTCTTGAAATTCGAACTCCAAGAAGGGCACCAAATCTGGAATTGTTCGTATGGATGCGTAGAGCTCGTCGTAGGCTTCGTTTTGCCTCAAACGGTACCTAAATCCACCAAGTAACGAAGAATAAATCTTGCCTCAAAGATTTGGTTGAAAAAGAAAAGAAAATGAAATAGAAAATTGAGAGAGAGATAGACACGGGGAGAGAGAAAGAATGAGAGACCAAAAATGGTCTCTAGCCACTTAAGGCTTAGTGGTGGGACCCACCAAAAATTCTTTTCTTTTCTCTTTTTCTTTTTCTTTTTTTAATTTACAGACATTACATTCTCCCCAACTTTAAAAGATTTCGTCTCCGAAATCAAGACATACCTGGAGAAGAAAACAACTCTGGATACTTGGAGCGAACCTCCTGTTCGAGCTCCCAAGTAGCCTCCTCGACTCCGTGGTGTGTCCAAAGGACTTTTACCATTGGTATCGTCTTGTTCCTCAATACCTTTTGTTGTGTGTCAAGAATCTGAACTGGTCCTTCCTCGTAAGAAACATCCTCATCAATGTCTACATCAACCCAACTCAAGATGTGAGATGGATCTGGCTCGTACTTCCATAACATCGATACATGGAAAACATTGTGGACCCTATCCAACTGTGGTGGCAAAGCAAGTCTGTAGGCAACCTCTCCTATACGGTCCAAAATCTCAAATGGTCCAATGAATCGTGGAGACAACTGGCCACTTTTCTCGAATCTCATCAATCCCTCCCGTGAAGAAACCCGAAGAAAAACGTGGTCTCCCACCTCAAAGGATAACGACCGTCTCCGCTTATCCGCATAACTCTTCTGTCGGCTCTGAGCTGTAAGTAACCTCTGTCTTATTAATTTAATCTTCTCAGTAGTCTCGAGTACAATGTCAGGTCCTAAGGCGGCTGTCTCACATACCTCAGTCCAACAAACAGGAGACCTACAAGGTCTACCATACAACGCCTCAAATGGAGCCATCTGAATGCTCGCCTGATAACTGTTGTTGTAGGCAAATTCAATAAGTGGAAGGTGATCCTCCCAACTACCACCCAAGTCAAGCACACATGCCCGAAGCATATCCTCCAAAATCTGGATAGTACGCTCCGACTGACCGTCAGTCTGTGGATGGAATGCCGTACTCAGGTGCAACGCTGAGCCAAACGCTGCTTGAAGTCCTTCCCAAAACTTAGAAGTGAACTTAGCATCCCTATCTGAAATAATGGTTACTGGAACTCCATGCAACCTTACAATCTCCTTCACATAAAGAACACCAAGCTTCTCTGCATCATCTGTTGCCTTAATAGGCAAAAAGTGAGCCGTCTTGGTCAATCTGTCAATGATGACCCATACGGACTCATTGCCCCTTCGTGACCTTGGAAGACCTGTCACAAAATCCATAGCAATATGCTTCTATTTCCATTGCGCTACAGGTAATGGTTGCAACAAACCGGCTGGTCTCTGATGCTCGGCCTTCACCTGCTGACAGGTAAGGCATCTAGCCACAAATTGTGCAATATCTTTTTTCATCCCGTTCCACCAATACTGACGTCTCAAATTTTGATACATCTTGGTACCACCTGGATGAACTGCAAAGCGGGAAGTGTGAAACTCCCGTAAGACGTCCTCACGACAAACAGTAGGAACCACCAACAAACCCCAGAACCGTAGACCCCCATCTGTATACAAAGCCCAATCTTTCACTGTCTCACCACTGGAGATCAAAGCGTGAATGGCATCTAAATTCCGGTCCTGTCTCTGTGACTCAATCACTCGTACAACAAGAGTAGGCTGAGCCATAAGACTAAACAAGAATGCCGGCTCGCTGTCAACATCATCATCAAAACAATACAATCCCATCTCTGCCAAATCCTTAAGTATCTTCCACTTCCGAATAACCAGACAGGCCAAAGTTCCACGAGATTTTCGGCGTAAGGCACCTGCTACTACATTTGCCTTGCCCGGATGATACTGCAAGTCAAAATTATAATCTTCCAAGAATTCAACCCATCTTCTCTGTCTATTATTCAAGTCCTTTTGGGAGAAAAGGTACTTGAGACTTTTATGATCCGAGTACACCTCGAATCTTTCACTATACAAGTAGTGTCTCCAATACTTCAAAGCAAACACAACTGCCGCCAACTCCAAATCATGAGTAGGGTAGTTGTACTCGTGAGTCTTCAACTGTCGAGACCCATAAGCCACTACTCTACCATCCTGCATCAATACACACCCTAAACTATCACGTGAAGCATCACAATAGATCACATAACCCAAGCCACGCTCAGGTATCACCAACACTGGAGCCGTAGTCAATCTTGTCTTTAATTCCTGGAAAGATGACTCACAGGCTTCATTCCATGCAAACTTAATCCCTTTCCGGGTTAAACGGGTCATAGACGCTGCCAAACGGGAGAAATCTTTCACAAATCTCCGGTAGTAACCCGCTAGACCAAGAAAACTACGGATCTCAAACACATTCTTGGGTTGCTCCCAATTCAAAACAGCTTAAATCTTTGATGGATCAACTGACACTCCGCCTTCTGAA